CTGGCATCACCAGTGACACCAGACAGCAAAAAAGTAAGTTGATGTCGTGATCTCATGAACCACAGTAAAATATTATCTCAAGACGAATTTGCATTTGCAAGGTATCCATTGATCTAGATCTATATTCTGTGAATATTGTTATTATCTAACTCGCATTCATTGGATGTGCACTGGAGTCACTTGCGGCTAACTGCAGCCCGTCACTCAGCCATGCTCTGATTGGTCACAAGGTTTCATACGTACGTATAGGCCTAATACGACACGTGCATACATACACATGCATACAGACTACAGATGTAGGCGAGATTCTTCTGTCGGACAATGCTAATCTATAATTTTCACATCTAGAATGTAGATCTGAAATCTAGAGATTAAAATGTAGGCCTAATTATTTGTCCTGCAAAACTTTGATTTGATCTAATCTAGAATCTAGATTCTAGATCTAGATCTAGAGAATCTAGATCTAGATCTAGAGAATCTAGATCTAGAGATCTAGACTTAGATCTTCTAGTCTATAGTAGGCCTACAATCATTACAATGTAGGGGCGAACGATGGGGTGGGCAGGGTATAATTATGCTGTTAGTACTGTTAGATTGACTTGAGAAGAGATCATTAATCATGTGACGCCTTGTGTGGAATAAGAGTTAACTCATTCACTACGTATTATTTAATTATTTTCGGCTTGTGGACGAATTTTTTTTCGGGAGGGCAAATGAGATGAGGACTGGGCAGTTAAAAGGTCTTTGGGGCCACAAATTCAAATAAATATCAACAACATATTGTACCAATATTGCCAGTATGGTTTGTAGAATACATAGAGTAATATTACCGGTTCGGTCAAAATAAGGACGAAAACAGGCACGTCCACTTTAAAGCTTTAAATATCTCCTATCTGCCTTGCCCTAGATACAAACCGAAACCAGCTACAGGAAGTCATGTGATTGGATGACCCCAGGAATGACCTGTTTCAGCTTGTTCTCATGTTTGAGGCCCTTAGCCTACTGGGTGCAAAAGTGACGCCCGATTTATTTACGAGTTCGGTCGCATTTTTTTGGTTTTCTCATGGATTCGGGCAGTATTTTGACATTCGGTCATTTTCAATTATTATCACATTTGTTTCTTTGCAAGCTTAATAACATGATTTTTAATGTTTGTTATCAACACTTGGACACAATGATAGTTTGTCTAAAGTGGTATTCACCATTTTTATAGCTATTTTAATGAGTATGTATCTGACCCACTCTACTACGTGGTATCTGACTCTACTACACTGGCATCTGGCTCACTCAACTACACTGGATCTGACTCGGCTACACTGATATCCGACTGTATTACACACTGGTATCTGACTCTATTA